ACACAATATAGAGAACATAGATAATTCTGGGAACAAACACCAAATAACAAAAATCAGTTTGTGACATAATAGGGCTACTTGGGGAACTGTTTGTACCCTTATCTTAGCCAAATGTGCAGATCTCCTTTTTTGGTAACGACGTCATACGAACAACCATCAACGGAGAACCAGAGTTCTTATAGATATAGGTTTTTGACTTTTAGATCTTCTAGAAGAACGTTGTACATTTTGAAGAAATTGGATTCGATATTCCGAGAACGGTCACCAAATGATTGTGATACCACTGTTACACAATTCTTCGAATAAAGAATATTAGTCTCCCCACAAATACTACATAAAATTTCTATAAAACAAGTTTACAACTCTCAATCTATTATACAACTCCGACAACACTATGGAAAATCAAGATCAAAGATCTCAGACTTTGAATTGTATCCTTTTGTTAGCTATCAAAACCTTAACCCATTCTTTATGCAAAGCTTTATTGGTGAAATAAGGCATCAACGAATTGCGTCATCTCTCTTAAGTCTAGCGAACACAATGTTTAGATTTTATGAAGAAAAACCACAAGATTGAACTTCCAACAATGGGTTTGAAAGAAAAACACAAAAGAGAGATCATAGATAATTCTAGGAGCAAACACCAACTAACAAAAATCAAATTGTGACCAGATGGGGGCGATTTAGGGTACTAGTTGTACCCTTATCTCATCCAAATGTGCAGATCTCCATATTAGATAACAACGTCCTAGGAATAAATATCAATGGCAATCAGGGTTCTTATGGATGTAGGGTTTTGACTTTTAGATCTACGTGATGAATATTCGTGTCTTAATAAATATTACATAAACTTCCCACAGCACCAAGCTCAAGTAAGGTTCCAACCCAAAAGCAATTGGCAATGGGTGGAGTAGCCCACTTGGATCATATGGTGGATTTCTTTTCTTCTCCCAACGGATGTGGGACTTCTTGTTTGCTCCAACACTTTCAATAAAATAGGTTTAAAATGGAGAAAAAGGGGACTTGACCTTTGCCATTTCATTCATTTCTGATTCCAATTCTTTCCTTTTCGTACGATTGTTCATTTCCCTTTCCTCCTGTGGTCAAATTGAAGATCTATTTACAAGAGGGATTGATATTTAAGCTGTCATCGTCGTTATCAATTTTAATTTTCCCAAGAACTCAGAAACTTATCTTCACAGGGTATGTTAGCCTCGATGTTTTGCCACTTTGTGATGATCATTGTGTGATTTCTTTAAGGATGTTATTGAATGTGTAGGTTGGTCGATCTGGAAGGTTTGGACACCTTGGGTTAGCCGTGAACTTGATTACTTACGAAGACCGCTTCAATTTGTATGCCATGCCATATCTTTGGTTTACGACAATTAGACTATACTTCTACTAGGTCGTGCATATTGCAGCTTTCTTTCTTGTCTTTTTTTTTTTAAATGTTTTTCTTATATCTGTATTATTGCATGCATATGATTGAACAAGAGCTTGGGACAGAGATCAAGCAGATTCCTCCACATATAGATCAGGCTATCTACTGCCAGTAATTTGAAAGTGGCTATTTTGAAAATTGAAATATTGGATAAAATATTAGCAAGAATAAAAAGTATTGGGTATTAAAAGATTGGATGCACGACTTAACCTTTTAATGACCAAATATTGGTCACTGTAAAGTATATGTCTAGCGACCACACTTTATTGGTCACTGGAAAGTTTCACCGACGGTGGATTACCAACCAGTCATCGACCACAGTCGACCACAGTTATTTAATCGCTACAGCACTTTAGCGACCAAACATTAACCTTTAGTGACCAACTTTGCTGGTCACCTGTAAGCTCAAAAACATTTCTATCTAAACACATTTTAGGACGTTGCCGAAAATATTTTGCAATATATTTGAGTATGTTGCAAACCTCGATGTTGTCGTAGAGTAGAAGGATACGACAATATTTTTGAAGTTTTGCCATAATCTTTTTGCAACGTTTTTTGAAAGTTGTGAATAACTTTTTTGCAGCGTTTTTGAGTGTTGCCATATCCTTTTTGCAACATATTTTGAGCATTGCTAATAACTTTTTCGCAATATTTTTTGAACGTTGTTAATAACCTTTTGCAACATTTTTTTGGCTATTGTTTATGCTTATATGTTTAGTTTTTGCAACATTTTTGACCGTTGTCATATGTCATTTTACAATTTTTTTTCTAAATTTTACATTTCCTTATTTGTACAAATCATCCACAAAACAAGATAGAAGATGACAATATCAAACAACTCTAGTATTCATTATTAATTGTACTCCAAAATGTAAGGATATTCATACAAAATTCAGATCCAAAATTCTGAAGTATCTAAAAATTCAATACATTTCCAAAAAAAAAAGAAGGAAAGATTCTAACCCGTAGCATAATCCATTTGGAACCAATTTCAAACGCTAAAATCTCTTAATTTCCTAAGATGCTTCTCCATATCTTGTCTTGTTTTGTTTTGCTCTTCCTTCTCTATCACAGTAGTTGGGTCGTCTCTTTCACCCTATAGAAATAGTAACAAAAAATGAATTTGCTATTCCGCTTAAAAGTCAAAATCAAATTAATGAAAGAAGATTAGTATTTTGAGTAATCACCGAGGGAATTATCTTGAAGGAGTTTCCATTATCTCGAACGACCAGCAGTTTGTTCTTCCTATCCCTATTCTTTCCTCCTGGAACTGTCATCTATTGAAGAAAATACAACACAGTACAAGTGAATAAACTGCAAAAGAAATGGGCCAGCTTAGCAGCAGATAAGAAGCATTATTGTAGATAAATGAATGGCTGTAACCAAGAGTTTGGAGAAAAGTATCTTTCATTTTTTAACTGAACATTTGTCTCTCACAGGACAAAGGAATGCATGGTGCCTATCCTAAACATCATCTGTCCTATTATACACTTCATCGACCCAGACTTTAGCAACATGCAGCTGAATATCTGAATTTATTATGAGCAAGCAATGCATTCCTTGCTTACTTATCGAACAACCATCCCCAGCTCACTTGGCAGACAAAAAAAAAAGGATAACTTTAATATAACAACTGATTTGAGAACTCCTTGTACACTACTAGTACAACATAGCATATTACAGCTCAAAGGGAAAGAAAGTAGATAGTCAATTTACCAGAGAAGCTAGTGATTATTTGTACTTATCGTGAATATTTGATCACTAGAATATTATTGAATAAATTGCCAGGGGGAAAAGAAGCAACTGCCCAATTTACCTAGTTCCACTTCAAGTTCTCAAAAGACAAATCAAACGATGCTTTAAATGCCCAATTTACTCAAAATCCAGTCTCCAAATAAAAACCCAGTAAATGTGAAGCAACAAAAAAACATAATTCACGCACTACAATCTCAAAATTCCTACTTGTTATCACTCAAACCAAAGCAAAACCATAATTACATTCAAAATTAACCCAAAAAGTAATAAAAATGCAAACTATCAGGCATCAAACATAATGTGCTGCACCTCGAAAATAACTCAAGACTCTATAATGAAGTACAATAGAATTAATCCTGTGGCAACTTTAAAAATATGATTTCTTC